TCTATTGACTAAAAGCCCTCAAAAGGTGATGTCAATATTTATTCAATTTCTCTTTAGAAAACGATGTTCATTTATTTAGGTATTTTAGTTTCAATATATACACGAACATTATCTACAATAGTCTCTTGAATGTTGTTTTGAACAGAATGTAACACACTAATTGCAACAACTGACAAAACACGATTGATCAAGTAAATCACGTGAAGAACTTCCTCAATTGATTTGTAATCAATAGTAGCTAGGTTTTCCGCAACAAATTTGCAAAAGCCAACGTCCACCTAAATAAAAATTAATATTAATTTATCCATTTTTTGTCATGAAAATTTAAATACAATAATATACCTTCGACTCATCACATTTTTTTAAGTCAAAGTCAAAAGTCTTGACAATAGAGACAAGAAAATCATTACGAGACTTCCGTTTATCTTTCAGAAGAGAATACATCGGATTAAGTAAAGCCTCGGGCCTTCCTTCGTGAGAACGTACTGCATACCCTTTGATGGAAAGTTGAATTCATGGAATCATGTCTATAGCGATGACTATATTAAAGCAAAGCCAAAACTTTGAAACATACCAACTATGGGATTTCCACCGACCAATTGCTTTTGAAAAGCATATGCTTTTTTAACACAATCTACATTTCTGGAATGTATTAAAGAAGCATGCTTTTCGTTTAAATGTTGATGTAATTTAAACGACTTATCACGAATGTTCTGTTCCGGACTTGTTTCCATCGCAACAATAGTTGGTATACACTATATAAGAACCATAGTCTTATTTCGATTCGTGATACGCTAAATAGTAATATTTCTTCATAAAATAATCACATACCAGTACAGGATGTGCCAAGCCTTGTTGTATAATATTGCCTAAGACATCTAGTGCGACAATTTTTAAACTTTGTGTATGATCAAAGGTACATTCTAATATCCTATCCAGGTATCTTTGCATTAAGGAGCTGCTAACGCTATTATAAATAACATTTGATAACATTATTCCGGTGTGTTACTTGTGAACTCTCACTTCCAAAAGTAGAACTTGCCAAATAATAACTTACCCAGCTTCGGCGAATTCATCAGCATTACCTATTAGGACTTTAAGATCTACAGTGTCGTTTTTTTTCTTTTCTGCAAGAAATATAGAAATATATAGTTAAGAAATAGTTATGAAATAGTTAAGAACAACCAAAGTGGCTTCAGAATACGTACTTTTGTCTTCTAAATCCGTGTTAATTTTTTGCTGTTCTGAAACCAAGAAATCTAAGAATACTTTCATCAACTGAATTTTCATATCCATTACACCAGTATTTAATATACGATCCATTAAATCAGTGCTTTCTGGCTTTAGCATTATTATTGGATATGAAAGATATATAAAGCCTATAAAATGCGCAATCATATTATAATCTAAAACACGGGAAAAGCGAATATAAAAAGTTTACGAATGCATTACCTAAACTTTGTAATGCCATTTTCTGAACAGTTTCTGATAAACCTTTTTTGCAAAAATACAGTACTAATTGGAAAGTTATAGCAACAATAGGTCCCTATGGAAAATTCAGTTTAATGTCATACGTTAAATTAGTAATGAAACAAGTTGCAGACTTTAAAATTCTAACCTTATCGATGTTATTTAGTTCTTTCATTTCATCTATGACAATAATAAATAGTTTACATATAAGTTAACGTATACGATCACGTGTACACAAAATCAATGAATAAAATATGAACATACCTGGCTTCTCTAATCGCTTCTTGTCAAAATCAAAATTTTTACATAACAATCCGACAATCAATAGAAGTACCATAACATTACGCGCAGAAGATAGTTCGTTTCCTGCTTCCAATTGCTTTTGTTCTAATTTAAGTTTTTCTGTAAGGTAGGATTGATTAGAATATAAAATTATAAACAAATTAAATCAGAATTTCTTATTTAATTTTTTTTACCAACCAGTACAAGACCGTAAAAGTTTTGTCAACCTTGCATAGTTATGCGTTAATTTGTCAACAATGACACATAGGCATGGTAAAACCTCTTGAAGAATCTATAAATTAAATATACCAAAATAAATGAACATCGTTTTCTAAAGAGAAATTGAATAAATATTGACATCACCTTTTGAGGGCTTTTAGTCAATAGA